TCTTCCCTTTTCAGGATCTTACAATATAAGAGATATATTGCTCTTGAAGTGGCAACAACTCGCGTGAAAATTTCGGCCTCTCTCAACATTTACTCGACGAAATTTGACAGACCCTATCTTTCTGCAAGGAAGGCTTTCCAGAGCAATTTCGATGCTTGTTGGAAACGCGAAATCCAGCTCTATCTAACTCTACCTCAAGCTGCTTCAAAGGTTGTGAAATGGAGGAATGCAACCTTTTCATCGAGGGTGTAGATTCGGACGTTTTTTTTTGAAATTTCGGCAAATCTGACCCAGTGACAATCGCGCCGCAGCTGCCGTTGAATCGGCCTTTGATACACTCGGCTGTTTTGATATACTCAAGCAAGAATCAAGATTGAATCGCAACCCCGTGTCTTCAGGATTTCTGTGCGTTTCTGAACGAACCTCGCCTTGAGGTCACACAAAGTTAATGCCTCTTTCCTCGAGTCGATATTTCAGTATGTACACAAAAGTGTGCAGCGATGGAAGACAGTGCATAGATGACAAGATGAGGCGTCCTTAGCATTATTTTGCAGATTTTTTTTTGATTTATTTTGCAGGATTTATTTTGATTAATTAATTGAATTTGCTCTGTTTTGGGGGTCAGGATGCCAGAATCTCGATTTCGGGGGGGGGGTTTGTGGAGTATTGAGGGTCCCCTGTTTTTGGCTGCAGACTTCACGGTACCGACAGAGGTTTCACCCTGGTGATGGCCGGCAGGCGATCCACTTGTGTAGGGAGAAGAATGCGTATGCTTATTAGGGGGGAGCCTCCTGATGTGAGTCTCATGGTGCTGGTGGTGGGAGAGATCGCTTCGAGACTCCCCTAAAGGAGGAGCGTAGCGAAATTTCTGAAAAAGTGCGAAGTCACAGTTGACCCTGATACGGGTTAGCGCAGGAGTAGGTGTCAAATGCTTGCGAATGAAGCTTCAAACCCATTTGGCGTGCACTTCTGGCGAAGAAAACGGCGCATTGAGACACTGCGGGCAGCTCTATCTTACTCAGTTTCAGATGGGATTAGATAATTACTGATTCATGATTTTAAATTGTATGATTTAGGGCCAGCTGGGCGATTCGATCTCAGTTGGTTGCGACCAAGTGCCCAATGAATTGCAGCGCAAAGCCTGCCGACTCACACTGGACGACAATTTCGAGCTTTTCTTCCAAGTGAGCTTGCTATCAGTTCAGCATTTTTCTCTTGAATATCTTGGTCAACTCTTATTACATATTCTTCCCAATTGCAGAACTTCCTCCAACAACCAGGCACATCAGTCGAAGATTTCTGCAAGAATATGGGATATTGTTAACCGTTTATTCAAGAAAGATCAGAATAAAGTATGCTATACGAAGTTAGAATCCGGGGAGTGAAACAGCATATTCATCGAATGACTCATTAGCACTTTCCCATTTACCAGTATGAGTGGAAACCTCGTACGATTAAAGCTAGGAATTTTTTGAGTCGAAAAAGAGAGGTAGGTCGGTTTTGACATCATCTGACAAATCATCCCTCTCACTTGCTAAAAAGTTAGGCCTGGACAAAAGAAGTATACAGTTAGTTAGAGTAGGGTCTGCACTGTATGGTGGGAAAAGTTAAACTTACCAGCTCAACTGGACAATTTTTCCCGGAGTCTTTTTTGCCACATAGGGTCAAAAACGCACCCTTTTTGAGCACACGTGAGTAGCAGATGAGCACATTTATTAGAATTTCTTGTGCAATCAACTTCGTTAAAGCGTTTGTGCATCATCGATCAGTCACTGCTAAGGTGTCCTACCATTTCAGCACAAGACTGGTGCAGCCCCGTCTCGACTGATTTAACTAGGGCCACCTTTTTGACGACGATTGCGGGCATCACTTCAAAGACTTTACTGTCTTTTAAGAAAACTGTGAAAAACCGATGAGCATTTTAAATGGTAGTATTCCCTCCATCAAATGCAATGCTGGTTTGGTGGGCGGAGGTTACAGCTCTCAGCAAGAATTTTGATGCATTTGGTACACACAATTTGGGCAACTACAACACGGATATCCGCGAATTTCCCCTTGGGACCCAAGGAATTTCAAAAAAAAGATATAAAAATATTGGTGGGAAAGTGTAAAAATTCGTGACTAGAGAGCAATAACGAAAAACAAGTACTGTAAGAACATCTTATCTCGGGGAGTATTAAATTGAAGCAAAAATGACTTTGATATTATATATAGTTTTTCCATGAGTTATCGGCGAGCCCCAACTCGGGCTCGAACTCAGAATAGCGACAACTGTAAAGGAGTTCTTTCAGGCAAGCGCCGCCGCGCTTTTGTGGAAATGATATTGACAGATTGTAGGGACGATGTAAGCGACCACAAACGGTGTAATTGTTTTCGACTGAACTGTATGCAGAAGTATGCAACAAAAGGGGTAAATAGATACCTCGAAGCGTATCAGTCACCCCCGCGGGACCAGATTTTGCAGTAGAGGTTGGACGGCCTCTGAATTTAGAATGGGGCTTCATTCATTGGTAAATGACACAGAATTTGACATCTGATTGTGACATTTGGCACGATTTGGCACCAACCCAAAATGCAAAATTTAGTCGCCACGGGGGATCGAACCATTAACAGTACCTTATGCTTCTTTTTTGGTACTGCTAAAACCGTTCAGCGAAAATGAAACATGGTTTTGTGTTCCCTACATGCGTCCCTACAATATGCAAGAAACCGTTTTGAAAAAGCGTGGCTTGCCCTGAAAGACCTCCCTTGTGAGACATAGGTACCTTTGTACCTAATAGAGCGCTCAGCGTGTTCAAAACCACGATAACATACTCTCCTGGTGTCAAGGTTTAGGACCGCGTCTTAGAAGGAAGGGAAAACACCGGGTTCGTGAGCAATCTTCGTTCTCTCCGCGGGGACTTCCTTTAAGTAGTCCTATCTGCTCACTAGGTTGATATTACTTTTCATAGGCGTTTATGTCATACGAAACAAGCACACAGATGAATTTAAAAAAATCAGAAGAAACAACGTAGAAATCTGATAGCAGTTCGTAACATTAGACTCCTTAAGCCAGAATGGCATTGGAAAAAACTGTGCACCGCGATTCCCCCTTTCCTGGAACAGACCCTGGCCTACTTTTCTAAAGACATGATTTCATCATAGCTCTAATACTTCATGAAGTGAAATTTTGAAATTTTATTTGGTTCATCAAAAATTAATTTTCAAATTTTATTTGCTTCATACGTGATCGGAATGATTATCAAAAAGCAAATAGGTACAGATATGGCAAATTGAGAGGTTATCAAAAAGTCGATGTAAAGTTATCAAGTTATCACAGGGAATAGAACAGAAAATTCAACGGATAGCGCAGAGATCAATGAGATCTAGTGATCAGGCCCTTGTATCCGGCAGCTGGGAGCATCGTAGTTGCAGACCAAACAACACATTTGACGAAGGCTCGCCAGAAATTTGATACAGGATACCTTGTAGTGGCAACTAATAGTTGGAATGATAGCATTTCTTAAGGAAACATCTACAATCGTCTAGTCATTTGATTGACAGAAAACTCTAATATTGAGAAGGCCTTCGTCACTTGCGTTGTCTTAGTCTGGATATTACATATGCAGCATGGCTGTGAACACAAAGTGTAATAAATAATCAGACACAACTACGTACATTGGCAGTATTGAATTCAATTGAGGACGATCGGAATTTTATTGATGATTCATTTCTTTTTGGAGTCTGATATTGCTGTTTTCTTATCCTTTAGCCTGTTGTTTATGGGTTTTAACAAGTGTCTTGACGTCTCGTCGACGATGCAGGATCGAGTCGGCTTCTCAAGCGCATTCGATAGCCGCCGTCGCCACTGCCTCTTGCCGGCGTTGTTGCAAAGCTTCACGGTACTGCACTATAATTAAAATGATTAAAAACGACTACGCAGTCAATAGGAGAGTAATATAAATCATCGTGTAAAATTAGAGAGATTAGACTAAAATTAGAGATTAAGATTATTTATTTATTTTATTATCATTCGTTGAGTCCTTATAATATTTTTTCATGGAACATTTATTGCTGTTTTGACTTATCGAAATCTCTTAACACTACCCGAGGAAATTCCAACAACTGAATTTTTTGGCGGTCTGTTCTGTACATATTTTGGAACCCCAATATTGCATTATGTTCGGAGAATTTGTAAATTGCCCTATCGCTACCATTATTCTGCTGAGTCATAGTTCTGCTTTGTAAGGGCAACGAGGAAGAGCGTAAAGATAACGTACTTAAAGGAGAATTCTACGATAGAACCAAGGTCAAAGAAGAAGGGATCCAATTTGTCGGGTTCTGAGCCGTTCCTCATGGTTTCTCCTTCCTTTTCGTATCATTGACCATCCTCAACTTAGTTTGGAATTGGATCCTTTTCAGCGTAAATTTCGCCTCTAAGGAGGAAAATTTCGGTTGATGATAGTTCCATAATAGAGTAGAAGAAAGTCCGACTCTCCTTACTTGAAGAATGGTTCGGAAGAAGCAGGCAGCGGAAACGGAAGCAGCAGCGGAAGAAGCTACGATAGGTCAAAGGAAGAAAATTCTTGTTAAGATGCGATACTGTCCAACATGCCGTCCAAATATTTTAGTGGTTTATAAGGACACACTTGCCGCGATGATTCCGCTGGTCGACCTTCCTCGTATGGTGTTGCTGACTACTGCCCGCCCCCTGCTCAGAACTAGTAGCCATCGCACTGTAAACGCATAACAACGGGTAATGGAAATCTTTGGGACTCACACTATAGACATCAAGCGATACGCATGCGCACCTGCGAGATCAGTTGGCTTTGAACTCTCTCCTCTCGCTTATCGGTGTTCCTCATGGGCATCCAGTATCTTTCAAACCATACTATGAATCTCGTTATGCCTTGCAAATTTCAGAGAAAAGATAACTTCTAAGGAAAGGCAAATCCCAGGCTTGAATTGGTGTATAAGAACGTTCGTAGTGAAAGCTGAGCTGCGAGTGAAGTCAAAGTAAAAGAAAGCAGGCGAAACCATCGAATACGTTACAAATGAGGCCCTCAACTTCGAAAAACTAAAGTAAGGAAGGATGAGGTACGACGGAGGAAACAGATCAAACGAACACGCGAAGAGCAAGACGTATGAGAGTGCACGCCGATCTCTACATCAATCGCGGTAGGAGGGGCGTTGCGATGGTTGCAAGTTCTTGACGATTAACGCCTTAATTGCGCATTTTTCGCGACTAAGCTGGTTTTGATCGCTGCAGGTACGGATCCAACAAAATTACTCACGACGCGGGTCCTAACAGTTACACTAGTCCCGGGGTTTGCCTTTGAGGTTTTTGGATATGATTCCTTTTTCTCAATTGGCGAGTCAAATAACGCCCGCTGCTGAGCTTATTTTAGCGTTTTCTCTTGACGCGTGAGTGTCCTTCGAATGAGACTCATCTCAATGATTCACCTCTGTTTTATGAACACTGAATTCTCCGTTGTCGAGACTGATATTTGGTATCCCATACGTTGGCTCTTCTTTCCAACGGTTTTTATTTCATCTCTACCTTGAATAGAAGGACTTTTCTTACAGTTCAATCCTTTCTAAATTTTTATGTGCAATCAAAATTCCACGGCTGCTAAATGGGCGCAGAGTCCAAAAACTGCGTGGGCTCCAAAAATTACGCATAAAATCCATATTTCAATTGAGTAAACAGTTTGCAAAATTCTCAAAGAACAATTGGAAATAAAAAGAAGACCAAGAGCCGGAAATAATGAAAAACTGTTACTTGAGTGGATGATGAGCAGTCCTCCCCAAGCAATCGACCAGAACCATCCAACAAACAGAAACGTGATTGTGAAGAATTGACTGACTCCAACAAGCAGATTAACCACCTGGAATTTCTCAATAAATATCTCCTTTCGATCTTTCACACTTTGCAAGTGTGAAATTAACGGCACACTAGAATCTGGAAAAAGATTTTGAGTTTTTTTGTTTTTCATATGAAGCATCCAGCCAGGAAATTCAAAGAAGGACATAGCTTCGAGCTTGTATAACATGTAGTTATGTCAGACATTGACTGAGCTCACGAAAAGTGATTATTACTATCACAAAAAATTATTATAAAATCCCTGCCTTTATAAATAATTTTGTTAGGCGTTTCAAATCTTTTTTATAGGACCCCTTTATCAAGAGATATCGGAATTCAATAAGAAGAACGACTCACCAGAGTCACCAATTTCCGCCCTTCCTTAAGATTAACTCGTGGTTGGCCCATGCATAACGCTGATAGTCCTGACAGTATTGTTCCTAGATAAAAGATAAGTCGTTGAGAAATGTGCTGCTTACGAACAAAAGAGGTCTGTATGCTTTAATGAAGGAGCTAGATCTTATCTCGCTGGTCTAGCTAGTAAAAAAGCGCCCAGGCGTTAAGGATGCGGTAGGTCAATCTGAGGGCAGGTACTGGTTTTTTGCGACCACTTCATGGTTTATTCCACATTGAACTTCAACACTCCCTCCTTGTGTTCTGAGATAAGCCACAAAAGGCTGTGAGTCGGAAAAGTGGATCGGCAATGGAGAAGTTTACGCACCAGTGGAAGCGATAGCTGCGGCA